AAGGACTTCGTTGATGAAGAATGTGGAAAGTTGGTGTTTTGGTAATGTACATCCCTACATACCGGTACTGCAGCACTTTAAAAAGCATGGAGGCGGCAAGTTGTCCCCAGCTGATTTCTTTGAATATTGGAAGGGATAAATTATTTTCATGGACTTTTCCCCCAAGTAGAAAGCGAGTCAACGGGATGTTCAGGCTTGGGTTTCACGGCTTCGTAACAGAAGCTAAACGGGGGACTTTCGGGCGATATGGTAAAGTCATAAAAAGAATGGCTCTGAATAAGTAACTCCAAACCCAATGGCGTCTTATTTGCTGATGCCAGGCTACTGTCCGACTAAAGCCTGGTCACCGAGACACTGCTAGAATTGTGCCAGGCAGTGCAGTGAATTCCCAGGGCAATCTTTTGACGCGCAACTACAAACCGTTGACAAGGAGGCGTGTAAGCGTGATTAGGAGAAGGCTCCGGCGGACCCGCGGTGCTGTGCCCCAGAGGGAGAGACACACGAGACGCTTTACATGATTAAAAGACTTTTTAAGCTTTTCTAATAACAATAATTCAAAACAAATCACACATTGGTTCGAATTTTTTTCAAAACTGGTACAGGAATAAATTCATGATCCCTGCATTTTGGCGGCAATTTGTCAAAACCTTATAGCAAGATTATCTGTTTGGTTGTTCTTAGGCCGATACCGTACTTTGTATTATTGATTAGGTTGAGACTGTAAAAGGCAAGAATAGTATTTTGTCTAGGCCTACATCTTCAAGGCTTGTGCTGGTCATACAAGATTTAAATATGGGCAGATATTGAATAGAACGTTGCAGCTTCTTCCGTAATGAAGAACAGGTGAATGTGAAATAAAAATTACACTTGAATATCGCTGAAATGGGCACGAGCCAGTTCCAAAGTGCTCATGAACAGACTCATGAATTCGACAGACTTATTTTTACTCATTTCACACACAACTCATATTGAGAACCCAGAATATTTTGGGGAAGGCTTTGCTCAAGAGCAGCCCTAGATAACGTCAACTATTGAAACAAAAGAAAATGACCAAAGAATAGAAAATTGAAAACGAAATATTTGAAATTGCAGTAAATTTTGGTCTTGAATTAACTGCAACACTGAGGTTTCCTCCTAGAATAAAATTACACTCTTGCCCACAAGTCTAAAGTTTGCATGAATATAAAACGTCTTTAAATGGCCTGAAGAATATTAAAATAAGGCTGAATGGAACACTAAGATGCATACATGCAAGGACTGAATCTAATAATCCATGTACTCTTGAAGTTCAAATTATGTACTATTTGTCTGACGTTTACAATATTACTTCTATGAACAATTTAATAAAAATTGCTTGGGTCAGGGCATCCCACGAATCCTGCCCTTTTCACGCTGCTCTTTGAAAGTATCATTCTGGACTTCTCCTGGTGAAAGGTCTAGCGAGATAATGATTTGGGCATTTCAACAAATTTTTTTAAGATACTTGCAACGTAACAGTTACGCCTTTTCTTTGGCGTTTTTGTTACGTGAAAAGCATACGGCCACTCAGCTCGCGTTGGAGTTGTGAAATCGCCTGAGACGGAACAAATCTATAGGGCGATGTTCGTATTTTCTGTCAGAAGGCTTGGTGCTGGTAAAGAGAAGTCAGTTCAAAATTCCAGGGTGGGGGTGGTTAGTGAAGAGGAATTTTGAGGATTGGGACAGTACTGAGGTAAAAGAGGGGGGTTGTCGTTATAGAATCAGGTAAGAGGCAAACAACTGCGTGGAACACAATGCTCTACATAAGCATGCATTTACTGCATTCCCCCTTAGATACACTCAGTTCCATGCGGAGCTATGAACAATGCAGCATGGGTACCCGGTTAGGCGACGATGTCATGACTGCATTAGGCCTCTGTCCTTAACCAAGGAATAGGTATATGAGCCTTTGACATCTTTTAAGATGCAGGGCCAACAACGTGCACACTACTGTGGTTTTATAATATACGAAGTTTTTCAAACGACAGACCGGGACCACCGTACACTACGACACAGTCGTATTAGAAGAAACGATATCGAGCACTTAAAAGCTCCACCGCTATCCTCTGGAAAATTGAACCAACCAACCGTACGACCGATCTCACAGGAACGGTGAGGTCATTAAATCGACCAACACAACACAAAAACCACACCACGCTTCATTAATCGCTACTCCAGCTAAATGCCGGGCTGGACTGTAATGATAGCCAAACAAGAGAGACTTTTTTCACCACGGTGTAGACAAAGCGTCTTTGGGAAATTTGCTCACTTTTCGTCCCTTTCAAGTCGCGGCAAGCAAAAACCCAGAGAATGGCAAATTGCCACTTAAAAAGCACTTTTCATGTTTTTCTCCCCCCCCCCGTTCTGTTCCCCGATCGATGGCTATGTCTTAGTGTGACGTCAACGAGCTTAGTAACCATGCGCACCGAAGCAGGCTGAGATTCTGACACGCAATAATGTGGTAAAGTATCACCAATGCAAGCCGAGACTAAGTTGGCGTGAATCTACCGAGGCTTTAACAGAAGACAACATCTCAAAGAACTGACACAATCCACATCATCGTGGGTTACATCACGGAAGGGCTTGTTCGATGTTTACTAGGCGACGTGAGAACACTGACATCCTTTTTGCATAAAAAGGCTCACATTCAGTTTGGTGACATGCGTCCTCTCCTTAGAAACAAAAAGTATTCACCTTCACTCACAGAGGTTACCAAATGTGTCAAAGCGGAATTGGACTCGGAGGGCAAGGGCTTTGTATCACAGGGCTCAAGGGGCCCTTTGGTGCATTCATTGGAACTCAATTAAAATAACAAAGGACAGCCTAAGAGGCACCAGCATGTACAACCTCCCTTTTTCCATTTTGATTACTTTCCGTCTCGGCTCTTCCTTCAATAAACGTGCTTTCACAATAAAGAACATAAGAACATGAAATGAGTTTCCTATGTTTCAATTCTGATTCTACGACTTTGCGGAACCACACATGTACATGGCGACTCTACATTCCGAAAAGATACTGGCTGCAGATGTATTCTCATCAAGGAAGGAAAAGTCATCGCGACATCACAAGTTCATTTAATGCGCATGCGTTGCGGTCCTTACACGAACATGTAGATGGCACTTGGAAGATCACAGAAGAGCCGCGACTTTGAATCATGAAAGCTCCAGTGCAGTGGGTAAAAACACCCGCGTGAGTGGACACTGGTTCAGCATGTTTATATAGTGTATGACTGATTTTCTACTGAATGCACACAAATTCACAGCTCTTGACTTATAACCCTCCCTAAGCATAAACATCTCTCATCTGATGAAAAGAGCCATTTTGGCAGGGAGTGTTCGTGTTGTGGGTAGCGACGCCATCATAACATCACAGCAGTTCCCATCAAGGGAGCCTCCGTTACCACTAACATTGCGCCCTCTCTTTGTCCCGTTCGGGGCGGGTAGTGCCAGGTGGCAATACCTATTTAATTAACAGAAGTTGTGCCCGTATGTCTTCATTACATACTTAATCAAGCAATCGCAAACAGGGTGCTGGATTTTGATTGACGAAGTTATGCATAATGCACAAAAGCAATAGGGCTTCCAACAAAGGACAGCCCAAAAAACTTGACAGAATAGTTGATGCACGTGTCCACAACGTAACCAAAGGATCTGCTACCCATCTGGATTGACTAGTTTATGCATTAGTTACGAAGAAGTATTTTACATGTGGTAGACCTAAGGTCAGGATGGAAAACTTGCAAGAGTCCCCATAAAAGCCCATTTGCCTACGCGGTTAGCTGATATTCCTATTAAAAATACCGACCGATCGACAGACCAACTGTTCTTTCAAACAACGTAGCTGCTTGACAACTGAGTTGAAACTATGGAAAAGAGGGATTTCAGAGTCGGTTCTTCCAAAGCCGACATGCTTCGGCACAAAGAAAAAAAATAGGTGCAACGAATGGGTACAATGCTTTTGCATTAGTTCAATGGAAACAATCTCAATACACAGTGTTACCATCGAGTAGGCCTAACTCATTATGGTGTCAAGGGAGTAATGTGATACCCATATCACCTACGAATTTTATTACCGCGAACAGAGTCAATGTTCACACGATAAAGCCGATGGTATTTCTTTCATCCCTGAAGATTTCATTTCATTGAAAACGTACTTACGTAATTTTACACGCAGTCTCTAACTCGAAGGTAGTACATGCAGTAAGTTTTATGCAGAAATAAAGAATCTTTTTTTTAGAAGTCTGACCATGGATGGGGTAGTGACACTGGATAGGGCTATGAAGATTGAAGGACTAATATACTCCTGTGTTCTATAGGCCTTCAAACTTCAAATCGGTAGGGATTCGATATCCTGTGGCTCCAGCCGGTAAGTATAAAATCTTGCCAGCTTTCTGCTTAACTGATGTGATGGTATTCGGGACAGTATCAAGAGCCAAGTCTTTTTCTAGGTCGAGTAGAGAAGACCGTGGTATGAACTCGTTGCTATTGGCCTCACTTTGTGGCCTTGGCGCACCGCATGGCTTCTCATCTTGTGAAGATGAGAGGTGACTCAACCAATCCTTCCTGGGGTATTTTACGCCAGAGTATGGCACTGCTGGCAGTTAGCCTCAACGACGTCTAAGGGGTCATGCGCATATCAGGCAGGACAGCGGAACACAATTTGGACAGTAGAAATTCGGCTCGACAGTGGCCAGACTGTACACAAGGAAGATATTCTGACGTCCTAAAATTCAACTTTCATAGAGGGGGTCTTGTAACTTGGGAAGGTGTCCTCGTTGTTGGTCGGTTGGTAGTTTAGAAGTACATGTATCAGCCAGTCACGGAAGCAAAGTGCCTTTGTTTTCGGACTTATGAAAGCTTTCTTCGCAACTCATGCATAAACTAGTATAGCTGAACCATTTTTCATATAACGGACTTGTGCACAACTTAGTCGATCAAGACCCAAAACACAACTCAGGACAGAATGTAGATTTTCAACGTGGATAAGGTTACGATGGACGCAGGTCTATGAAGAGGAGGCCTGCACACATTTTAATTTTTTGCAAGATGTGGTTGATGAAATAAGAATAACTGTAAATTAAACGATATTGTTAATTTCCATAAATGGCTCAACAATACAAACACGTACACGTAGGCGCAATTTACTAAAACGGGCTACAGCCTGATACAAGTTGAATGCCCGTATTCACAAGAAAAATCGGAACACTGATCTGATTTGATAATATATGATTGGTATTTGCATGTGACAGTAATTAACTAGTCCAGCAGTTATACAGCGGTAGACAATGCAATTGTAAACAAATTACCATATTTACACATTATTGCACCAATCGGCGAATATTAATTCCTTATTTAGAATGATCTATCCTTTATTGAAGGTTAATTTCCCTGCACTAGGTTGAAACAAGTGGTGCTAGTAACCACTGGAGATCAAGATTGATTATCTGTTGGTGTGACACGGGTGAGCAATATGAAGAAAGGGGTTTAAAATCAAGTGTTCTGTCGGGGGAAAATGAAAAAGGGTTGACCTAATATCCTTCACGGACACTGCAACGCCAACCGGCAGAGAAAGTTTTGATCAGTGAGTGAACTGAAGCCGTCTGTGCGAGAGGTCATTGGGGTCAATGTAACATTCTCTTGCATGCATTCCTCAAGCACTAGAGTCAAACAATCTGGTTAGAATTTTAAAAAACACCGAATACCCTTCTCATTTAAGAAACGTTACTTCAAACGAGTAAGTTTCAACAACTCAAAGGTAGGTGCACCATCAGGAACAATTTAGATTAAGCGTATTAGGTTCTAAGGTGACAGAGGCAAATTACTTTTGTGTACACAAATGCATGTGTTTTATGTGGTTGTCTTGAGCTAACAATCAACTGCAGAAAAAATAGAGCCAAAATAATGCCAATAATAAAAACAACAATAATAAATAAAGGAATTTCGTGACATGAAGAAAGACCAGGGCAGATTTTCTTGCGACACTGAAACGGATCCCATGAAGTTAATCATTTTCAAAAGCCGTAGGCCCTAAGCTGTATGTGAATTACACGGAAAGACATGAGACGAACGTTTCCGGTGACACTAAGTGAACTCTCCTTTAGGAGTAAGTGATATTCTGAAAGGAACGTCATATGTTTTTCAATGACACCATCCAGACTGCAAAGTATTCAGCATGAGGTAGTCAGCATGACTTATGCCAAGACCAAAACAATAAAACAAATCAAAACACCGGTTGCACACAGGTAGAAAAAAAATTGCTCCTTGTGCTCCTCCGTTTGTGATCGTTAGTTCATGGTCAGAGTTGTCGACGAGGTTATGTAGAAACATTAATGCCTGTAAGATTCTTACATAATAGCATACCATGTATCTCATCAAGGATCAAATTTAAAGAGGATTAACACAGTGAATATCTAGACGAATAAACTAAAAGCCAACAGGTGAAGAAAGGAATATACAATGTAATTAAAGGCGGCAAAACCTCAAAAACTTTACCTTTAGAATCAATATTGCAATTAAATTGCAGCGTAAAAAAAATAATTTCCATATAATTCGAAACAAATACAAGTAACTTTGGGTCACTGTCTCTAGAAGTTAAGGCAATTTCATCATTAGTCAATATTTATATTAGTTAATTTTTGTAAAGGTTATTTCATTGAAACTTCTATACAAAAACCTCAATGTGAGAAGCTCTGTTCTTTGATACAATGGCATGCGTTCTGTGAATAGCATCCAATAACTAATAAACATTCAAAACAATTTTCAAAACCTTACCTAATAAGGACACTTCCTTAAAAGTGTTTCAGCTGAGTCCAACAAATGCAAAGAACTTCAAATGTGAAATTAGGTGACGATAAAATGGAAAGATTCATTCTATAAAATGTGGGCAAAACAGCCAAAATACCCAGCCTCGAAACACGTTTTGAATGTCACAACGTTTTCAACTCATTGTTAAAGGGGCTGTTTCCGTTTGCCCAAGTCCTTTAGCAAGGGTATAAATGACACAAAATTCTGCATTATATTAGTGTAACGGATTCAGCAGGAACTGTCATTTTCGAAAATAGTGAAATGACCGATCTGTCCGATATCACAGTTAACATACTTGCCGTGTTAGGAAGCTAAATGGTAAGCCCTTCTTTTCGATGTGTACAAACCCAGGAGCACTGATCAAACTGCTCTCGGATTCAGTAAACAAACTGCCAACCAATCGGACAAAACAAAAAAATACAGTTGCATTCCCGGCCAGCCAATTACGTATACATGTACCAGTCGGCCACAAGTCAAATCACTAGTCTAATCAGCCAACACGCTTTTTCACAAGTAGAGATTTTTTCGCTTTGACAAGAATGCTACTGTCACATTTCCTTGACTATTAAAGATCACTCATACTGCTTTTAAACGGTTCAACTGGGAATTGGTCATTATTACCCATATAATGACTAAGGAGGTAGCTTTTCTTTGCATTTATAAAAGAAACCGTCATTTGGAGGGTTCAGTTCCACCGCGAGAATGCTTTGAGAAAAATAAAAAAGCGTCGATGAGGGCGGCAAACAAATGTAGCGATTTGATTATGTCATATAAACTGCTGCTCTCGTTCCTCCATAGTTTCTTGACCTTGTGGCCCTACAATGTAGTAGGCTGTCTGTTTCCTCGCCGGCCATTCTCAGCAAATTACCGCAACCATCTGCCTAAATTTCATCGGGACTTTACTCCGGTTCAAATTGGGGCGATTCAACTGTATCATCCAGCGTAGACATCACCTTAACTTGCCCGATCAACATTGTTTTGAAGTTAAAGCAATTCCAACTCTCTCACTGTCCTAACTCGTTTAATTCAGTTATTTTCGGGCAAGCACAGCGCTCACGCACGCGGGCACGTTCACCCCAAAATGATGAAACAGTCGTATAACAGCAGAACCGTTGTAACATCATCAAAACGGGCTTCTATTGGATGCTCCCAACGACTTTTGTTTTCATTTTGCCTGAAATGAAGAACTTCAACTCGTGCGTTTGACGTCAGTAGCAATTTTCAATTAGTTTTTTCACATGATAAATTGTTTTAAATATAACTTAAATTTAATAAAACGAGAAATTGTGAATAACCAATAGTGGCTGATCTTTAATGTCTGCTGTGACTCAACTAGAGACTGCATGATTTGAGATTACTTGTGACTGATCTGTGATAAAATGGTTTACAATGCCAGTAGGAAAACAAACAAAAACCTCCAGTTATGCCTCCAAATCTTCCAATGGGGTTTAAAAGGTTCCAAAAACCGACATGTAAGTAGATAGCCGAGTAATGTCAAGAGCAATTCATGAATCTATAAACAAGTCACGTGTCAACATTCCTTGAGGCATTCCACACACCGCGCACACAGTGCTTGCAAATGCAAAGTCCAATACTTCTTAAAAGGTACATGTAGTCCTAACAATGAATACCGTGCTTCTGTAAAATACTCAAAATGACTAGGCTGAGGGTTTATGCTGAAGTACCCATTGTTGAGTGAAAAATCACATCAATACTTTTCCGGAATATAAACGTTTTGAAGCACAGCTCCGTTTAGTGTAAGATATTTTTAACATGCTTTTTCAAAATATTCAGATACGCTACCAAGGTCTAAGACCCAATTACTATAAAGCGTTAAAAGCGACACTGGCCCATCTGTGTCATGGCTTGATTGAAACTATGCCTGCCTTCAGCAAAGGACTTGGCTGCAGAATCAGACCTCAACGTTAACAGCTCTACTTACTCTAAGCAAGAAAATGTACATGTAACTAAAGCAGAAAATTCTATGGTGACAATTACTGCGGTAACAATTACCATACACGTATGTCACTGGTTAGCATTCAAATGTGAGCAACACGCATGTGCAAATCTCATACGTGAGGGATTCTGTGCTTTCTTGGTTAGCACAATATTTAATGCTAGACCTGATGGCATAGAAAATTGACGGTAAGCACGAAATTCCACATTAAGCACAACGATGAAATTGGGCACTGTTGCCTGGTCAAACTACATGTACAAAGGATTTACCGATAGACAGAAGCATTCTTCTGCTTACTTTACTTCATAGTTACCTCAATTAACCTCGGGTTTGGTATCCTGATAAAAGATACCTTTAGCTTACGGGTAGCTTGTCCCCACCAGTAGCTGATGAAAGGAGTACAGTAAGTTGGCCCCATCGTTGCAGATTTTTGCAAACAGACCTCTTCAACTACGCTATGCTGTTCCCACAATATCAATCTGAAGGTGCGACAGCCATCCAGCAAATTGGATTGATCCAAGTTGATGAAGACAAGAAATCTTCCAAGAAGAGGGAGGGGGAGGAGGTGCTGATTTAGTTGCAAAAGTGTTAAAATGATGATTTACAGCAGGGTTTCCAGCAGCCATGGAAATCCTTAAAGGTCCTGGGGAACAATTTTTCCCTGTAAAATCATGGGAAAGTCCTCGAATATTGGGAAAAAATAGGGTGTCCTTGGAATCCTGTTTTCATAGGACAAAAAGTCATAGAAAAGTCATACAAATCAGGTCATGCCAGGGTTATATTTGATGAGAGGCTATTGATGTGATTATGGAATAATTACACATTTACAGGATATCCTTGTCAGTCTATGGTAGCGGCTATGGTGGTCTTCCCGTTCTTTTATAATCCGATCAACTTTTTCTGCAAAATAACATGGAAATTTTTATATCTTAGTCCTGGAAAATCCCGGAAAAGATATAGAATTAGTTTGTTTGATTGGGTTTAGCCATGTGTATTTACCAGGTCATAAAAGGTCAAACCTTTCACGCAGTACAGTACATGCTTGCACTTATTTTGTGCCCTCTAAATATGAATTGCTCCTACAGCTTCAGCCTTTCAAATCAATTGCCCTCAATGCACTTAGCTAATGTGGCCATCTTGGTTTAATGGCTCCATGCAATCAATTTCTGAGTCTGTCAGTGGACTGCTCATCAAAGCCTCCCGTTGCTGTGCTAAACGTTCTGCATCTGACAGATCCTCCCTGGATTTGCCTCTCAACGCCTCCACAAAGCCCACTGTGCTCTCGGCGAGGTCTCCTGATCCGCCAGTTGGGGAGGACGGTGGCAAGGACTCGGCGTATGCATTCATGCTTTGAGTCAGCGAGGTCATCTCGTCCAAGCTGACGTTGGACCCTATCCGCCGGTGCCCAGGCGAGGTTGGGATACTGTGGAAAGTAGCCGTGACATCCTGCATCTCTGTTAGTGGTGGCAGCTGGTGAGTGGAACCCCCAACTGCGTCCGTGCTCAGTGATACGTTGGCATCTGTAGCTGTTGACACCTCTGTAGCAACCAGAGCCGATTCTACTCCATTATCTTCTCTCAACTCTGCAGAAAAAACCTCTCCAGGCTCTGCTTTACTACCTCCAACCACCATCCCCTCAGTCCTCTGTTCCCTGGTTGGCTCTCCGGGATCATGCCTTGTCTCAGGTTCCACAAACGAAACAATGGACTTGTGCTTCTTTGCGCGAGATCTGCTCTCCCCTGCTTCCTGTTCCTGGAGAGGGTTGGCGTCATCTTTGATGGCAAGATGCTCCTCAGCTTTAACACAGTCTTGTTCACTCCTGCTGGCATTCAAATTGGCAAAGGTAGATGCATTTGATTGGACAGTCTCCTTTTCCACTTGTGGATTTTTTAAATTTGAGCCATCATCTTCTATCGTTCTTCTTCGATCAGATGCATGAGGTTCTTTGGTCAATGCTGTATCTGTCGCACCATCCTTGGTTTCCTCAGCTATCCCATCCTGCGTGTGGTCGGTGGCCTCATCCTCTTCCCCTCCGGCCCAACTCGAACCTTCCTGGTGCTGAGTGTTTCCTGAGATCCAGCTTTCGACACCCTGCCGGGGAGCTTCTGCCTCATCAAGCGAGGGTGCTCTTATTATATGCATGGGCCGGCTCTTGTCGACAGTGGCGACATGCCTTAGTTTTCTGCGATCAAAGTGCTCAATGGACTACTGCAGGGGAAAGCACAAAAATGAGGGAAAAACAAATCTTCAGTAAATTACGTTCCTTATAATTATTACACTTTGAGTAATTGGCGGCATTACGGTCTGCCCGTATCACATGAGCTACTCGTATGGGACAGATGCTTGAAGACGAGTGTCAATTACGCAAGATGATGCCCACTTGGCTAGTGCACAAGATTGCATAAAATTTGCATGCACCCACATACATGAATCTGGCATTGTTTGGGTGCATGCAGTCTCCTTTTAAAAGTGGCTGACACTCAGATTACCTGGGTTCATCACCTGTTTTCATATACAATAAACTGAAATATCAGCTACATGTATTGCCAGGAATGAGCCTCTCTTGCTATTTCTACAAAAGAGATTTTATAAAATAGGGGTTAGGATTCAGATTTTGTTCACGCCTCAGCCCCCCCCTCCAATCTACTGGTACCAGTAGGTATAAATCCAATGGCGGAATCACTCTGAAATTTGCAATCAATGCAGAAGCCCTCTCTTACTACATGCAAAAACGCTTTTGATCCAATTAGGCAAAAGAGTTAAGAAGTTGTCAGTTTGCGCTGCCTTCTGTCATTAACACCGGACTTCAGCAGAAAAGCTCCTAAAGATGCGGGCATTAAAATAGCCTGTGGTGATACTAAACAAAATGCTCAGCCTTAAGGTGAAGGCTGACGTCATGTCCAACAAATTCTGGGTGGTACGATCGTGACAATGAGGTGTACTGGTACTTACTGGGTCTACATTTACGATATGATTCCAAACATTTCCCTCAGACAATCTGTACATGGTCCCTCCGAACCCCAACAACTGAATTTCACATCATTTTTCCCACAATTTCTTGGCACTGTTACCAGAAATTAACAGAGTACATGTACGTAACATTACAACATCTCACCTACAGATTCTGTATCTTAATTGGATGAAAGCCAGTCACATGGCATTGCTAAATTACTCATACCTATCTTTGTTGTGGACGGAGCAAAAGAAATACTGTATATCCGTAGCAACCAAAGTAATATGGCCATCAACACTGTGTGCAAATGCATACTGGTGTGCGTGTTGAGCATCACACGCTTGCTGAAGCACTAGTACTACAGAGCTGGGTTAAAACATTTTGTTAAGATGTACATGTAGTTTGGAAACGTGCTGGGAAATTTTCAAATTTCTCATTCAAATGTCTTGTTCAACTAATGTACATGTAGATTTACCGGTATTTATATATATGTGTAATTAGTTAGATTACACTGATACATGTACATGTCTGTTACTGCTTAAAACAATCAGGACCTGTGGGAGAGATGTTTTAAAAAATAATGTCAACTGCTTTATCTTGTGAAGTAGTAAACCTAGCCTCCCTCGGTGATCCACGGAGCATTCCATTTTCCAAAATAAAATTCTCCATGGATGCTAGTTTTACTGCACCACTCAGAGCAGTCAATATAT